AAATGACCAGCGCACAAGGTCCCAGAATGAAGTTGAAAAAATGCGTCAATGTGGGGATCTCCGACCTTGGGGACACACGCGGATTCGACGACCCCTGAGTAGATGGTAAATTGTATGCCTTGTAACTGAAAAACAACATTTACAAATGCATTGAAATCCCCTCCATCGGTAGAACCCTAGGTGACAAAGTAGATACCTCAGGAGCGGCCCTCAACACTTGGTTCGACCTGATAGATGGGCGGTATACCAATCGTTCGGAGGCAAACTGTTCGACTTAGAAGATGTTGAGAGCACGACCGTCGCCCGAAACAAGCAGTATACCCTCGTCTTCACCGACGACAACAAGTGGGTGTTGTTACCCTCTCGAGTAGATTGGTTTCTCAACATTAGGCTCGGCTCCCCTTAAGTGTTCACGGAAAACAAAGACAACTACCTAAACAAAGTCATGAACAACGGAACCCTGCTCGTGGCTTACGTCCCGACGCAGAGACGTAGCGTAGTCATCAGCCCAGTCTCGAGTGCTACAGCCCACATGCTGTCGAGCAAGTGCACGGATGCAAAACGTGGCATTGCAGGTGGTGTCTAAATTCGAAGGCATGGTGAACATCCTTGAGAGTCTACCGGCGAACTCCACACTGGTCATCCAAGTCTACCTAGGGGAACCATCGCGGGATGAAGTCGAAATCTTGAAGGGAATCAAACTCCGGTGGGTGAAACGGCACCAGTATCAGGTTTGCACTGTTTACGTGCGGGTGGGTGCCGACTCCCACACCAATCTGCAGGGGGGTCACCCTGACTGTGGAAGACACGATATCCCTCACCAAGATCTTCCTACCCGACAACATACACTTCATGGGGGTGAAGTGCACCCCTGAGAAATTATCAGAAAAAACAATTGGAAACTATCTCGTAATAGTATTATAGCAATGTCCAATCGTCATCGGCCCAACGTTCCACACTTAACGATCTAGGAGACACGGAGGGCTTCGATCTGCCCGGTGAGGAAGACACCTCGTATGTCTTGCACTTAAGAAACGGCGTGTACGTGCAGCGGCATCTGCCAGACGGCTTTATAGAGCCCAAATGGTTGCTCAACATGACCCTTACCGAACTTTATATCTCGTTAGACAAAGATAGGTATGTCTCCGCCATTAGGAACAATGGTATCTTGTTCGGGGCTTTCATTACGAAGTATGGTATAAGTACTCAGCTCATACCGGATCACTCGGGTAACATGTTAGTTTCAAGCCGGGAAGAACGAGTTAAGGTTTGACGTCCCCAATTCCCAATTGGACCTTATGACTGTGAAACCAGGCTCCACACTCATCATAGAAGTCTACTTCGGGTTGGTTGATGATACAGAACAGCAACTTTTACCCGAGGTGACAATACACTATGGCACCCTACACACGGGCGAACGTTGCCGTATCGTCATACAACCGGACCCCTCAACGGGTTCTTTAGTCCCCTCAGTAAGCCTCAATGATGTTCGTGTGGACGCAAAGTTACCTATTATCCTCTCACCTATTACCCTGAACAATGGTCTAAGACTTATAAGCTTCAAATACACTGTGCAAAAGTAAATTACGCACATTTTAAAGATATGTTTTAGAATATATTATATGCACAGGCCTGTACCCAGTCGTAGAGGAAGTCGTGAAGACCCTGGAAACCGTAGACGGGTTCCACTTGAGACAGTTATGTGATGTAAAACGCCAACTAGAACAAGACCGTGACACACAGAAAGCACTATATAAGAAGTACCATAGAGCTTTCAATATCATGGACGGGACTGATACTGCCCTTACGGCAACCAGCATGGGACTAGGGGCGGCAGGTGTTGGGTTGTTAGCCACCATCGTGGCCGCACCTATAGTGCTAGGCATTGAAATAACAGCTGGGGTTGTAGGGGTGGCAGGGTTGGTGTTTAAGTTTGCATCCCGGAGACTGCATCGTAAAGCATTGAAACACGACGAGATCAGGGTTCTGGCTGAAGCAAAGCTGAACACGGTAAGTGAGCGTATTTCCACAGCACTCACTGACAGTAAGATCTCAGAGGAGGAATTTCGTTCAATCCTCTCTGAACTCGACTAGTACCATAAGATGAAACAAGAAATCCGGTCCAAGTCTCATAAGACTGCTATCAGCGAAGACGAGAAAAAAAAGTACATAGAACAGGGGGTACGAAAAGCCCAGCAAGCCTTCATTACGAACACTAAAGAGATCATAGGGGATTCACATTAAACTGTTTCCTCGAGGTCAACACGACATAGTGTCACGAGATCATGATCGCGGTCATAGTGACACAATAGTGTCACGTGTGGCCGGGAAGTTAACTGGGGATTCAAAAGTAGTATATACGATGGTGGCGAGATCTAAGGGCCTGACAAAAGCTTTATGTATGAAATAAAGCTTTACAGAGGCTTTGTTGGACTTGATCTCGGACAATCATTGTATATACTACTCTGGAGGTTGACCGAGGCAGAGAAGTCTTACAGATAGCGAAGGACATAACCTTTGCGCGACATCTTCACGCGCTGTTGAAACATGATGTCGATCACTGGATTGTCTGGTCCAGACTCGATTATATACAGACCGCTGCAATGTAGCTGAAATACTTCTGAGCGCTGCTTTAAAAAAGAAACAATCCAACCAACCATTCACTTCCCACAGAGGTTACTTGTTCCTACGAACCTCTGTTTTAATACGGCCCTTTCATGGTGCGAGTGTTCATGATTCGTGATTGGTTGCAATCAGATTTAGTTGTGCAATCAGCGACGTTGTTTCAACAGTGTTCATTCGCAAGGCCTCGGTAATTTCCGTATGCTTCGGGGGAAACTAGAACATCTTCCCCTCCACGATGCGCAAACATTTCTTCTAGACAGAACTCAGTCATGTAATGGCGGATCAATGGCGTCTCCACCGCCTCTCGTTAATAACGGACAAGCTGTTGTCGACGATGACATTTGATTCTGAGACGACGAACTGTGACGACTGACAATGTGGACCTTAAAAAGCTTCAGCATAAGCGGCTGTATATTTATTTATTTCTATGTTTAAAAAATGAAATTCCATCAAAAGCCATTAACTGTCTTATGTGTCACATCAACACAAGTCCCTGGCAGAGGAGGGATATTTGTGGCCCCATGTTTGCTTGCATAAGTCAAGCTGGATCTAAGTCGATTTACAACGTGTTCAGATTGGATAGAAAGAAGGGAGATAATTCGTGCTGCAATTTTTTGCCGATAGGGGATTTTACGAGAGCCGGGAAATAGGGCCGTATGAGAACAGAGGTTCGTAGGAAGATATGACAAGTCACCTTTGTGGGAAGAGAATGCCAACCAACGTGCAGAGCGGCCTTGTAACTGATGATAAATGAATCCTCTCCCACAACGTGTTCGTCTTTATTATATAGATTGTTCTCGTCACACTATGGCTGAGATATTGCCGATGTGACGTTGAAGATTAACTCACTCACTCACAGGGTGGTGGTTTAGTTTAATGGTAAAAGCGTTCGCTCGTCAGCCGAAAACTCGGGTTCGATTCCTTACATGGAAACAAAGTGTGCAGCCCATTCCTGGTGTCCCCCTCCGTGATGTTGCTGGAATATTGCTAAACGCGGAGTAAAACCTCACTCACTCCACACCGTGATGCTTCCCTCTGCTCATAGGTTAGCCTGATGCAGCGATCAGCGTGGGAAAGATGTACACTTGATTCGCCTAAGGAGAACTTGATGCCACTGCTTATGCCTTAATGGAAGGTACTGTTGGGCCAGTTGCAGACGTTGTCGACGATGACATTTGATTCTGAGACGACGAACTGTGACGACTGACAATGTGGACCTTAAAAAGCTTCAGCTTAAGCGGCTGTATATTTATTTATTTCTATGTTTAAAAAATGAAATTCCATCAAAAGCTATCATTATCCCCGTTTTATTTTAAGGATAATCAAGAAAATAGAATTTACCATATAATTTCCATGGTGTATCACTTCTCAGTGGTTTACCCCGATCTTAAATAAGACACTTGTGACTTGTGTTGAGTGAGTGAGTTTAGATTTACGCCGCTTTTAGCAATATTCCAGCAATATCACGGTGGTGGACACCAGAAATGGGCTTCACATATTGTACCCATGTGGAGAATCGAACCCGGATCTTCAGCTTGACGAGCGAACGCTCTAACCGGCTACCCCACTGCCCCTGTTGAGATGATAACTGAAGAAATTAGTACAGGATTTTCTACCAATGATAACTGACAAAAGAAAGGAAAAAGTGTTTTTAGATGTATACATTATGCAGTATAAATAATGAACAGGTCACAATAAAAATCAAATTTGGCTCAAGTCATTGACCAAAGTTCACCATGGCACCCATGAGACAATCGAAAGTCAAGGTTAAGGTCGTCTGTACTCAATCTATTGTATAACCCCATGAAAACTGCCTGCCATGGTCGCCCCATTGAAACGTTGAATCTTCTCGTAGGAAGAACTCATCTCCATGCGTCCTTACCACTATGAATCTAAAGCCAATCGGATGTTATTATATGTGGATGAAATGCAGGTGATTCTAGACACAAGAAAACCATCTGGTACTTGCGATACTGGGCAGCGAGTAAGGGCAGCAACAAAGATTAAAATATTGTTTTCAGCAAGAAATGCTCATGTTGTTGATTATTGGATTCTTTGGTCCTGGTGACCCTCGGCGGTCATGGTCACTACTTGTATCATTCTGCTTGTTGTAGACATGGAAAGTGCCCTGGCAATGCATTTATGTTGTATCCAAGTTTTGATGTCATATTCCGATCACCAGCATTTATATAAGGGTACTTACAGTGTATTTTGAATTATGTTCTGCTTACATGAATTCCTCTGGTTGAAAATATGACATCAAATAGGCATGTTGGATATGAATTCCAAGCACGATCACTCTAAACAGGTTGCCTTTGGAATATAATGTATTACACTCAATGACTACACCTCTCTTTTGTCTTTGTGTAATCCAGTTCCGTGCCCCGAGTCACAGGGTTACAAATCAGCCCCGTCAGTAGACCTGTGCTTCAAATACCAAGAGGTTAAAATGAATTGGAGAGCCAGCCAGGAACAATGTGAGAGTGAGGGCGGCCGCCTGATCATCCTGAACACCTTGGAGAAACTTGACTACATAGTTGCCACATTGGTTCACGGGTCTGTACCTCGTAAGTGCTCCGTGGATTTATCAAGTCACATGCAATTTTAAACTGGTCGATCTCTTCTTGTTTGTAATATCAACTTTCATTGTGTATATGTTTTTCTTTCTTCTTTATGAAGTATGTTTCCTGCACGATGCTCTGACCGAATGTAGTGCGTGCTTAATTTGCCCCTCCTGGCCTGAATGTGGTCTCATGCCTAGTAAGGGACGGTGGGGTAGCCCAGTGGTTAAAGCGTTCGCTCGTCACGCCGAAGGCCCGGGTTTGATTCCCCACATGGGCACATTGTGTGAAGCCCATTTCTGGTGTCTCCCGACGTGATATTGCTGGAATATTGCTAAAAGCGGCGTAAAACCCAACTCACTCACTCACTCATGCCTAGTAAGACACCATGATTGTAGACGACATGTAGAAAGTAGTCAAAGACGACCCATGTTGCTGTTAAGGATCCAATGGGACTGACAGGAACGCATAACCCTGGGTTCAAATCTCGGTATGTCCTGAATATATTCCTAAGTTTGTTACACCATACCAGTCTTGAATGTCCAAGACGGAGGTTTAGATTTTCCTCAGTGTTTCAGTTTAATGAAGAACATATTGTGAGCTTTCTAAAGGAGCCGCCCCGACTCACTATGATTGTTGGTCTGCATGGCCTGCTTGTTAATGCTCGTGGTATCTGTCACAATCACGAACAGCTGCGATATGTATGACGTGATATTCCATTGGTACAGCAACTAGGTGAAATGTCGTTGACTACTGTAATAGCACACAGTTGGTCTGTTGAGATTATTTCCACCACAAACATTAATTTGTTATTTTTTCTTCAAATGCAAATTATTTGAGTTTTCAAATTCTGTATTGCTCTTCATGCTATGTCCAAACGGGCTCGTTATTTCCACTCAAATTATTGTATCTGACGCTGATACACGATAGAAACGCAATACAGAAGAAACATAAGCAAGTTAATAGTTTCCCAAGTCTAAATTAGAGAGCGTCATGATGTCGTGTGACCAAGTCGTAAACTGGTTTTCGGAAGTGATGTTTGCCTCACTGCCTCACTCACTTCATCGCTAGGTCGAGGATAGCCTGACCCGTGAAGATCCGGGGTAGAATAGGTCTTCAGCAACCCATTCTTGATATAAAAGGTGACTATGCTTGTCGTAAAAGGCGACTAACGGGATCGGGTGGTCAGGCTCGCTGACTTGGTTGGCACAATTGCACAGATCGATGCTCATGCTGTTGATCACTGGATTGTCTGGTCCAGACTCGATTATTTACAGACCCCGTCATATAGCTGGAATATTGCTGAGTGCGGCGTAAAACTAAACTCACTCACTCACTCACTCACTCACTCGAGGATAGCCTGCGATTTGTTTAATAAAACAGAAAACCCTGTAAATCCCCAACAACATGTGCTGGCTTGATAGGACATCACGGCATCATTGAGTCTAGGTGATGGATCTGTACCTGTACGTCTATGCCTGTGTTTCGATGTATACCAGATACTCTTTGTTTTGAGAGTGGTGTTTAACAGCAACATCTCCAATGTTCATTCGTCTTTGTGGTAACCATGGGTACGAGACGGTATTGTTCCACCATTATTCAGGATGGTCGTTATCTTTCTTCAGTTTCAGCTTTAAAAGAGACTCTTATTCAATTTGGAAATTATGCGGAGTGTGCGAAGGGTTTAATGTTCAATGTGTATGCATAGAATGGTCGACTGGTTCCTTCTTTTTCTAGCTTTAAAAGTTAATTTGGAAATTTGGTAAAATGGGTTTAATCCTACAATGTGTATACATTATTTTAGCGGATGGCCAATGTTTGATTTGAATCTAATGGTGGATATTCATGAAGGAATTTATAGAATGGTAGGGATGAAGGTGATGTTGTTTTCCTATTGTATTGCTTTCTGCTATGCAATTTCGTCATTTATTACAGCATATATTGGTCTGCGAAAGAAGAGTGGAACAGTTCGCTGGACAGACGGTTCAACTTATCTCACTGGAAGTTCTAAGATCAAGCTTAATGGATGTGGACATCTGGGTAAAAAGATAATTAGCACCTATTATTGTAGTTGGAACCGGCCTGCTGTTTGTGAAATAGTGACTTAACACTCGAGTGAGCCACAAGCTGACGTTACACCAGCAGGTTTCAACGATACCGCGGCTGTAAAAAGAAAGATAACAAAAGAATACACGGCAAAAATAACCGTAGCATAACCAGACAACCATAGGTTTATGTTTAATTGTTCAAAATTGCCTCTGTTCACCAGCAGAAAATGGGTACCCGGTGGGATAAGTCATGTCTCTATTAACCTTCTAGCACCTCACAGGCAGCTTGGGTTATTTGGGGTAATAGTAATGTGATTGTTAGCAGTATAACCATTCACCTAGTGAATGGAGTTTCCTGCATTATAAACGCAATTATTATTATTATTATTTAACACTAGCGTGGAACAATAAACAAGAGATTTCACTATGAGTGTTGGTCTGCATGGCCTGTTTGTTAATGCTCGTGGTATCTGTCACAATCACGAACAGCTGCGATATGTATGACGTGATATTCCATTGGTACAGCAATAAGGTGAAATGTCGTTGACTACTGTAATAGCACACAGGTCGAGGATAGCCTGACCCGTGAAAATCCGGGGTAGAATAGGTCTTCAGCAACCCATTCTTTTCATTAAAGGCGACTATACTTTACGTAAAAGGCGACTAACGGGATCGGGTGGTCAGGCTCGCTGACTTGGTTGGCACAATTGCACAGATCGATGCTCATGCTGTTGATCACTGGATTGTCTGGTCCAGACTCGATTATTTACAGACCGCCGTCATATAACTGGAATATTGCTGAGTGCGGCGTAAAACTAAACTCACTCACTCACTCACTCGAGGATAGCCTGTGATTTGTTTAGTAAAACAGAAAACCCTGTAAATCCCCATCAACATGTGCTGGCTTGATAGGACATCACGGCATCATTGAGTCTAGGTGATGGATCTGTACCTGTACGTCTATGCCTGTGTTTCGATGTATACCAGATACTCTTTGTTTTGAGAGTGGTGTTTAACAGCATCATCTCCAATGTTCATTCGTCTTTGTGGTACCATGGGTACGCGACGGTATGGTTCCACCATTATTCAGGATCGTCGTTTTCTTTCTTCAGTCTCAGCTTTAAAAGAGACTCTTATTCAATTAGGAAATTATGCGGAGTGTGCGAAGGGTTTAATGTTCAATGTGTATGCATAGAATGGTCGACTGGTTCCTTCTTTTTCTAGCTTTAAAAGTTAATTTGGAAATTTGGTAAAATGGGTTTAATCCTACAATGTGTATACATTATTTTAGCGGATGATTTGAATCTAATGGTGGATATTCATGAAGGAATTTATAGAATGGTAGGGATGAAGGTGATGTTGTTTTCCTATTGTATTGCTTTCTGCTATGCAATTTCGTCATTTATTACAGCATATATTGGTCTGCAAAAGAAGAGTGGAACAGTTCGCTGGACAGACGGTTCAACTTATCTCCCTGGAATTTCTAAGATCAAGCTTAATCGATGTGGACATCTGGGTAAAAAGAGAATTAGCACCTATAATTGTATTTGGAACCGGCCTGCTGTTTGTGAAATAGTGACTTAACACTCGAGTGAGCCACAAGCTGACGTTACACCAGCAGGTTATAAACGCAATTATTATTATTATTATTTAACACTAGCGTGTAACAATAAACAAGAGATTTCACTATGCATAACAATGTATGAAAGAAACGTACTGAAGACCACCAGCAACCCAAGTTAGGTGACGATTAATTGACCTTTGGAACTCACGGTTCCCCAGCAAGATATTTATCCCTTCAGAGGTACTCATTCTCTGCCAATAAACTGAAGGTATAAAAGAAAGTACACACCTGGTTCTTTGTCATTATTTTAAAAATTAAACAACGTAAATATTTTGAACAGTGTTTTGATTGTTACTTACAAGTAACTCCACAGATATGGTAGCCAATTCCGACGTTGCAAACGTCTCACGTTCCGCGCCCAACGAAGACGATTCAGTGGTTTTTGACGGTTGATAACATGACTTGAAATGGTCGACTTGACCAGATTCCGACTGCACGTGGGCGTCTCATCACTGTGTTCCTGCTGATGCGGTGGCAAAACACTGTTAATGCTTATGACGTTATTTTGGGCATCTGGTTGCGCAGATGGAGAATGCAATGGTGGTGGTCATCTTACCGGATGGCCACTCTTGGTCGTCAAGTTCTGGATCATTCAGATGTCTAACCAGTCTTCTTCACCTCTCTCATTCGTCTCATGATGTTCTTCTACTTTGTACAGCGGAACGTTCTGGCCGATGGGCTCATTCTCGCTTCATGGTATTGCCATTTGGAAGTGTGCCTCCACGTATACCACAAACAATCTCAATGGGTTCTGTTTTATACTCGTATAATAATACTGTTTTCATGACTTTCCACGCACAAAACCGTAAACAGTCCTTGTGGAGTTTGGGCAGCAGGTACAAAATTGTCTTGTACGTCTCAGTCAAAACACATTGCAAATTAATTGACGGGGTTTCATTTTAATTATTCCCCAAACACCAGGTGTGTTCTTTCTTTTGTACGCCAGTTTATGACAATAATACAATAGACCTACATTACCTTCGAATGATATGGAACTCACGTACTCTCTCAGGGGGTATAATTTTGCAATAATTATATAGTCTTCTTGGACACTAAATATGTTAGCTTTCCTAAAACATTTGATCCAAACACTTTTTCGAAACGAAACTTTTTCTATTTTCTGTGTGCCATGGATCCATTCTTGTTCATAATGTTACGTATTCAAATCTAAGATCCATGGGTTTCAAGTTAGAACTGAGTCAATCTCAAATTGCTATTGTCTATTCTTAGCCGTACAAACTCCTGTTTTTCCATGTTTTGACAGTATTATTTTAAGAGTTTTAATACAAACAAGGAGTTGATTATGAATGGTTTGTTTGAAAACATTTTTAAAACATTTTTTTCAGATGAAAAATACATATTAAATAGAAAAACACCTATTCAATTTTTTTCCCCGGCCCTTTTTTAATCCCTTCAATGTGGCCAAACTGATGGCGGCCATCTGGAAAACAAAATGGCGGCTTTATACACTAATAAAACATTCATATCTCAAAAAGTTTTTGACAGAAATTAAAAAGGAAAAGTACTTTTTACTCACTTATGCATGAACTAAAAGAGTGTGTACACTTCTGAGTAATAAAATGCATGTACAAATTAGCCTGACCTCCCTTGAGTTTCATTAGCCATCTTGATTTGCTATTGAACACTCAAATGCAAGTAGCAAACCGTTCATGTCTCCTTATCATCTGATCTCCCATGGACATCCAATATTGGTTTGGAAGTATATACTGTGTTTTGCAAAAGGTAACGAGCAAGCAGTTGTAGAAAACATCTGGCAATGTAACATCTCTTCAAAGAGACACTCATATTATACAGGTATTTAAAGGAAAATGCGAATGAAAAGAAATAAACTGATCGTTATGTAAAATACACTATTCGAAACTATTTTTGGAAACTCTTCAAAAGTGATTATAGGTTTGTGTTTAGTTTCGGTAATAACATTATATCCATGCCCATATCATACCATGTTTACGATACTCGTGCATAGATATCGGTACATCACTCGCTCTCACTCGGGAAATACCAACATTTAGGCACTCGTGTCGTAAACATAGCAGGACATGTGCACTTATAATATCCTACATATGTGTTTCGTCTGTAATCTAGTTGTCAAACTCAGATAGTGGTTCTGTTGCTACATTAGAATTACGATTAATGTATTTAAAAATGTATTTTATGACCTAAACTATTGGTCAATGTCAGTTCTTAACTTACACTTTCATGTTCAACATACTGTCCCATTTAATATTTCAACACCCGTGTTCTCACCGGACTTGACTTTATATAACAGGACACACACCCTTCGTGTCCAGTCACGTAACAGTAAACACATGGTGATAGGCTCATCTAGAAAGACGTTTAGCTTTTCACGTCCTGCGTTCTCAGTTGACAGGGGCGGTGGGGTAGTCTAGTGGTTAAAGCGTTCGCTCGTCACGCCGAAGACCTGGGTTCGATTCCCCACATGGGTACAATGTGTGAAGCCCAATTCTGGTGTCCCCCGCCGTGATATTGCTGGAATATTGCTAAAAAGCGGCGTAAAACCATACTCACTCACTCACTCTCAGTGGACATGAAACTGTAGCAGAACGTTCCCTAAACGACATCCTACGTGTCCAGTGACAGTAAACCTTACCATTAAATACATTCCACATGAATAGTTTGGTGACATATCGAAAATTTAAACAGTTTTATTCGACGTTTTCTATGGGATGCTTCATCAGTGTCCACATACCGACTATCAATGTGGAAGTTCTGGAGGACACTAAGGTAAAACCCCAGTAATAGATCCATTGTATCCAATATTTTATAATACCTTTACAGGCTCCACCTCAGACGATGGAGCCATAGTCAACTTTCAATGCTCTGAACAGTTGGAGGAGGGTTCTGTGATCCCTTCCCCACGTTGAATTAGAGACACCTGTAAACAAATCAAGCTGAAGGGCATTCAGGCATATGTTCTTTTAATACGTAATGTGGGACCGAAAGTTAAATGCTAATAAAACATTAAAACTAAGAATTTCGCCTTTTTACAATTATAAACGCCAACCGGCGCCCCAGACTTTAGGTCAACTGTCGCAGGCATTGAAAGAGAAATGGGCCAGAATTCCACAAGGTCGATCCAAAGATGTCTTCAGTCCATGCCGAAATGGGTGAGTGAGTGAGTTTAGTTTTATGCCGCACTAAGCAATATTCCAGCTATATTGCGGTGGTCTGTAAATAATCGAGTATGGACCAGACAATCCAGTGATCAACATCATGAGCATCGATCTACGCATTTGGGAACCGATTACATGTGTCAACCAAGTCAGCGAGTCTGACCACCCGATCCCGTCAGTCGCCTCTTACAACAAGTATGGGTTACTGAAGATCGATCCTCACAATGGGAATTATAAGTCCTTTTTCACGTCATGTAACTGTAGTACGGCGTTAAACATATAATTATTTTATGTGTAGTAAAACACTGATACATACTGGTGTACTGTGCAATCCAGTGATCAACATCATGAGCATCGATCTACGCATTTGGGAACCGATGACATGTGTCAACCAAGTCAGCGTGCCTGACCACCCGATCCCGTTAGTCGCCTCTTACGACAGGCATGGCCGGCCGGGTTACTGAAGATCATTTCTAACCCGGAACTTTACGGGTCATGCCGAATATACGGTGTGGAGTATACGGTGAGTACATGTTCCCAAATGTAACTGTCCGCCGGGAGAGCGGAAGGTCGCGGGTTCGATCCCCGACCGCGTCATACCAAA